TGTCATTCTCACTGGTGTAAAATGGTATCTCATGGCAGTTTTGATCTGCATTTCCCTGATTACAAGTGATTTTTTTCATATGCCTCTTGGCCATTTGCATTTAGGTAGTGGAAATATTTTTAGGCAGTAAGGGAAAGGCAGCAGTATCAGGGAGAGAGAAGCAGGAAGTGTGGCAACATTGTTGTTAGGAATGTTCAGACCAGTGACCCTAGGCTGGGGAAGGTCACCTAGAGAAATTCTCTTCCCCAATTCTTTTTAAGTGTAGGATAGGAGAAATGTCTTCATTTCCCATAGCTGATAAACTGTCTACATTGTTTTCCACATCTCAACTTCCATGGACCTCTGAAATTTATGTTCTGCTTCCAAAACTATTGACAGAGTTCCCATTTTAGTAACTAGTGAACTCTTAGAGCTAAAATTTCCTTGTTTCAGAAATATGAAGAGTTAAATAGCCAACTACAAGGAATTTGCAGACTTATTACATATTAGAGATTAGAGCTATCTATTAGTGATTAGAGGTTTAATATTTATTTCACCAAACCTTTTTTGTTATCACATTTCAAAGCTTCTTTTTAATATTTAGGTTCATGTTTTTTTATGTCTTTCCAGATTCCTAGCATCAGAAGCCTTGTTGCCAAAATCTTTAATCATTACTTATGAACAAAAGTCATCTTGCTAAGCAATTCTTTATTTTCAGAGATATCACAGCTTTGTTATCTTACATAAGGAATCATTTCCTTTCCTAGATCTCAGTTCTAGAGACCTTCACCTAGTCTGCACTCTTGCCTCTCATTTCCACTTGAGTGCCTAAGGAAATATCCTATCACAACATGCTGTCCTTCCTCTTCTCTCACCACTTCCTCTACATCTGTTTTCCCCACTCCCCTCACATTTTTCATATTCCTTTCTCTGATCAAAATATATACTTCTCCTAGCATTTCAACCATTCTTGTCAAATGCAAATCTCTTCTTTTGTACTTTTATTTCACTAGTAAGTCCAACAGTGTTTCTTTGACTTCTACATCAGTACTGCAAAAAAGTCCCATGATAATCCAGAGTAGTATCACTATGTGTTCAGGGAACACACTCTCTACAGAGCTTTCCTTTCTCACCATCAACAAGACTTATTTACAAGATTCTTTATCACCTAACTCAGAGGAAGCCATGTTCCTCATTTGTCTCTGAAGTTGGCCCTTCCGCATATACTCTGGAACTCATTCTGCAAGACCTCACTACCCCATGTATGTCTTTATTTGGTAAAATTTTACTCTTTTACGGATTTTTCTGCTAAGGTTTTGCCAATGGCCATGTATCATTCCCTTCCTTTTTTAATTGGAGTGTAATTGGCATGTTCCATTATATTACTCTCAGGAATGTATTAATAAAATGATTTAGATCAATGTACAATATGAATGATCACTATAGTAAGTTGAGTTCCCATCTTCAGCATACAAAGTTACTCATTTATTGTGATGAGAACTTTTAAGATTTACTCTCTTGGCAACTTTTAACTGTTACTATGCTATTATTAACTATAGTCACTTTGCTGTACCTTACATCCCCATGACTTATTTAGATGAAGTGGATGGGAGAGTCAAGAGGTACAAACTTCCAGTTATAAAATAAATAATAATATTCCCTCTCTCTTTACTTACTCATCATTTCTGCTGGCACATATATCCTGGAATTCTATATACATCAATAGTCTGAAATGCTTTTTAAACTCTAGACTCATCTATCTAATTGCCTTCTGAATTGTTCTACTTGATTTCTCCCTCTCTTCTGTCTCACAAATGAGGCAATGAGTTCTGCCAATTTTACTTATTTTGCCATGTTAACTTCATTAAACTTCCTGCTACTTCAATTTGAAACACAAATATAATTAAATATTTCCCCAAATCTATAATCTTTTATTGTCCCTCAGGTTTGATTCAAAAGCAAATTTCTTAGTGTGACACACAGGTCCTTCAGGGGTTGACAGCATCTAGTCTCTAGATGCTCTGGTTTTTGGCTTGCTAAAGCTTGTTAAGAGGAATATGTATTCATGGAAAGGTTTGCAAGATGAGGCGAAGAGAATGGTGTAGTAATTTCAAATACCTGTAAGAAATTAATGCTCCATTATCTTAATTTATCTAATCTTAGGCTCAACTGCCTTAGTAGATGTCTAGGATTTGAATAAAGTGTTACTTAGAAAATTTAATTTTAAAAAATTGGGTAAATATTCTAATATGAGATTTTAGAGATGCAGCCTATTAAAATGTACAAGTAACATAAGTAATCTCCAAACTAAGCACCCTGTGTAAAACCTAATTGATGATACTGTTGGAGGGTACAGAAAAACTTAATGATTCATGCAACCAATTTGGTCTGTTTCAATGCAAAACACAGACTTTGATACAAAACATAGTACTACCTATAATCCACCGAGGTCATGTAAAAGAATCATGATAGAATAATTTGTGACAGCTAAGGGACTTAGGAATTAATGCTTAAGCAACTATTTCAGTCTCCTCTTTTCCATGTCAATCTTTGTACTCTTACCATTTGATAAGTGACTGTGATGTTAAATGTATCTATAAGCAATTACTGTCACTTTACTACTTGAAATTAAATAGATGTATAGTTTCGGTATGTACACATCATGGTGATTATTGATAGTATGCTAATATCATCCACTGTGGCCATGGTAACCCATTTTACTTAAAACCTTCACAACTCACCTGGTTCTCCAGATTTCTAAATATATCCCAGAGAGGGAAATCTATTTAACTTATAACCTTCTGAGTAAACAATCACGATTGTGATAATTAAAAAGCCCTGTTCACAAAAGAAAGATAAATTTCAGTAAAACATTTATCTTACATGAGGGCTAAGCTGAGTGTTCATAAGCTTGTATTCTCCCCCACCTTTTTTTTTTTTTCTTAAGGATCTTCTGATGAGACTTGGGAATTGAGAGGAAACTCCTGCCAAGGAGTCAAGTGTTATTAGGGAGCAGATCCGCAGGGTGCTTAGATACTTTGGATATTGCTTATTATTCATTCTTGCAATTTGAAGCAACTTGTGTCAGTCACTAATTTTTCACTATTTTAATTTAGTTCTCCATCTTTTAGTATCTGTTGCATTTTTAGCATACATGTAACTCAACAGCACCTGGGAACACCCTAATAAAATACATGTCCCTAAAGGTGCATTGTAGTCTGTGTGTGAAAGTCTAAAACTAAGTGAATTCAGTCTGGGGCTGTATTTTAACTTATTGAGAATAATACTAGTGCTATGAGTCTTCCATGTCTGGTTACATGTCCTAGTCAGCATTAGCAGATAAGCATACAACCACTGAAATGGGAGTTGCTGATCTCAGGTAAGACATCGTGGATGGATTTAGCATTAGATAAGGCCAAATTAGTCTAATCCACCTTTTATATCAGAGAATTCTTGAGTTTTCTGAGCCACAAGAAAAGTTTTCAGATATCCTGGGCCTATCGGCATGGGACAGTCAGGGAAGCCATATTCTTCCCAATTATTTCTGCTTGAATGAAAATTGCCTCAGCCTCTGTATTGCCTAATTTCAAAAACTAAGTGTTGTGAAAGTGCTCTAAGAAGAATAACCACCAAGCAAAATAACCAGGATAACTTTTAATTGTATATTTGAAAGAATTGTATGTATTGTGTATGGAGTTTATATAGGAAACATCTAAGGTTGTTATAATATGTTAATCTTAATGTAAATTTAGATCATTATGGCCGACATATTTTCTAGAGGTGAAATTTAGATGTTTCATTCAGTATGTATATAAGAAGGGTTCAAATATTATTTAAACATGCATGCACAAAGAATAGTTTCAGTTAACCAGATGTATTTGCAGGTGAAATGAGAGAGTTAGGGCCATTCATATAACAGGTGCATACCATAGAATTTAACAATATTGATTTTTTGGGTCTGTATTTTTTTTTTACTATGATAACATTGGCTTATGACTCTGTATTATTTAGAGACATAGATTTACAGCACCTCAGATGGATGTTACTACACTACAGCCACCATGTAGGCACTCAGTCCTCCACCCTAGTCCAGTTGGCCTCCTTCCCAGCTTTGTGCTCAGCCCACCCACCAGTAAACTCAATTCTACAGTCATATTTCTAGAGGTTTTTTTTTTTTTTGTGACTCTGTTTTGTTTCTCTATACTCCACATAAAATCAAAAAATCATCAGTGTTTGTCATTCTTCTTCTGACTTCACTTAGCATAATCTCTCCAGTTTCATCTCAAATGAGTTATTTTTTTAATTTATTTATGCAGCCAAGAACTGGGGGTACAGGCCAGAGGTGTGGTGGGTGAGAGGATTCACCAGAGACAGAGTGGGGAACAGAACAGGCAGATTGACTGAAATACACTGCTGAGGGGATCAGCGGGTGAGACAGGAGAGTTCTGCTGCACTGTGTGGGTAGCTTCCTGGCCGGGGATAGAATTCGTGCTGCAGTGGCTGTGTATTGCTCCATAGGAGCATCTTAACCCCTTGCACCACCAGGGAGGCCCAAGAGTTATTTTTTAATAGGTGAATTGTATTCGCTGACTTTGTAACTAGACTCACATGCGTTCTGTCCACTTACTACCAACAATACCTTGGGCAAAATATTTAGGTAGGATAAATTTCTCACATTTGTTTTCAACACACAGTATTCAACTACTCTCCTGGGAAGAGGACACATTAAGAAATACTTTCTAGAATAATAACTCCAAAGATCATGAACTGCAATAAAGGAAGAGACACCTCCCCTCTATAATCAAAGTATTTAGAAATAAAAGCAAGGTCTTTGTTGCTTTATCCAATGGGATGCCGTTCCATGAAGAAAAGAAAATCTGAATTTAACAGTATTGACTCATATGATCTAAGAGTTTTTCTGTAACCACTTTTCTCTAATCCTCCTGTCTGACAGTGACATCTCTAACTAAAGTGGTAACACTTAACCTTTTCTTTTACATGTCATGTGACCTTGTGAGCAGAGTAAGAAACAAGACATTTCTCGGGAAGATCAGGGACCAACAATCAAGAATTTGGATTTTTGGCCCCAACTGATTACACTGATGGTCACAATTATTGATGAAGATAAAACTGCCTACACACCTGTCCTAAATCAGTAAGTACACTGTTTTGGAAAAAATTGTTTCGAAGTTAAGAAAAAAAAAAATATTTGAAGCATGGCTGATGCTCTTATGAGAATTGACAAACTTTTCCATAATTAAAATTAAGAATGCATATTTTTCTACTTTAAGCAGTAAATATCAATTAAGTGATATGAATTTTTAGTGCAAGCTCATACTTCAAATATGTAGGCAACTATTTTCCAAAATTTATTTTCACTTGATGTGTAAACATTTCCTTTTTTTCTGATTTCTTTTATAACTATGCCCTTATCTCAGAAGAAAAAAAAAAAAAAAACACTCCACTAAACTAAAATAATTAAAAATGCAATACTGAGTGTATTCTATTGTGACTTTTTAATAATAGAGATTTGTCCAAAGTGCATATTCTGGATTTTAATATTTTAGTTATATTTACGAGAACAAGATCCATTTTCATAAATAACAAACTAAACCTATTCATCCATGCTTAAAATTTACAAATTATGAGCAGGTAAATCAGTGGCATATGAATTCAAATTTGTGTTGATTCTAGAAGAACAGACACTAGAAAAGTCTAAAATCATCATCTGATCAGTTGCCACAAGCTTTGATACTTGGGCAAGTTACTTATTTTCTATGGGTCTTATTTTCCTCACCTGTAAAATGAGGATGTATTACTAAAAAAAATCCAAGACTCAGTCCAACTTGAAGGTTTCACACTTAGGATTTCTTTCATGCTCAAATGGTGAGAACTATACAAGGAAAATAGCAGCTGATTCTGCTGATTAGGATCCATTAGGATCGTGCAGTCTGGTTGAAAAGAGAGGGTCTCCCGACATGTAATACCTGAAATGCTATGGGGCAGCAAGGATAGATGAAATAGACAAACCTGAAGTAAAATATGCAGTAAATGCAAACATAATATGGAGAACTGGTTTTGATAACTCTCATTTTCTAGTCAAGATGGTTGGGGTCAAAAGTTTATTTTGAATGTAATTTCAGTTCCAGTCATGGAAGAAATCATTTAAGTAACCCAATTGTCATCCTTTCCTGCTTCTTAACCATCATTTTTTCACTTATATGTCCCTGAAATATGAGGACACAGCAATTTGTAAAGGGTGTATCAGACTAAAACATGTTTTGGTTTTATTATTAAGCAGTGGCAAATGAACAAATTATTTGAAAATAGAAAACTTCTGGATCCTTCAATGTAATACAGTATTATTGATAAATAATTTACTGAATGAAGTATTTATTGCTAACATAACTGAGAAATTGTAAGCTATTGCTTTTGCATATGTCTCTCATGCGGGACCCTTAAAAATTGGGGCCTGTACAATTCCCACCCCCCTTACTTTAACCTAATCCCTTTATAACCAAGATGAAAATGCATACATTGTGCAAAAATGAAAAATGTAAAAAATATATAAAATTAAATAAAATTTAAAAAGAGAGAGAGAAAAATTGGGGCCTAGATGAGCAGTCCAAACCCTTTGCTCTGCAGGAAGAGCTGGGAGCTGGGGGTTCTCTCCCTAGTGTCTGCTGCTGTGCCACAGATGGGATTTATGAAAAGACTTTTTCTCGGTCTTTCCAAGCTAATTTGATGTGGGTATTTTTTCTTTCACTTTCCCAGACTTAATTGTTTTTGATGAACTTTTGAAGTGGTTGTTTTCCCAGGAGCTTTTCCTTCTAATCTGAGTGGTTAGATTTGCTGCCAAATAGTTGTTTATGACAAGCATATACATCCTTTTAATGTTTGTAAAATTTGAAGTTATTTCTCCCCACTCATCCTTTAATATTGCAATTTTGTATCTTTTTTCCTGTCCACTTTGTTATATATTTATAAATGTTATTTATCATCTTTAAAAAAAAAGCAACTTTTGGTTTTATTGAATTTGTTTTGTTTTATTGAATTTGTTTCTGCCTGCTCTGCTCCCCGCTCTGGCTCTGGTGAATTCTCTCACCCTCCCGTGCTTCTGACTGTACCCAGTGCATGTATAAATAAATAAATAAAAATAAATCTTAAAAAAAAAGAAGAGGGTAGAGGTGATGAAGATTGTATTTTTTTGTGACCATCATTAGTTGAGATAATTCAGAAGGAAGTATCAATTTAAAAGAAATTAGAAAGGGAATTAAAGTAAGGGAAGAGTATTGTGAGTTACATTTAGATAAGTACACATTTGACTATCTGTGTGACTTCCATGAATTACATGAGTAGGCAGTCATGTATTTAAGTGTGAAAGTACTTTTAACTGGCAACAGTAAAGGCTCAATTTATTTTCTCTCTGCATTAATAGTATATTTCAGAAAGTATCCAAGGTTCAAGTTGAGTAGGAAATGTACCAGCTTTCAATAACCTGCCATTTCATTTTCTTAAGGCTGAGGGATGAGCCGGATTTACATCTTGTTCTTTCTGTTTGAAACTAATGTTCTTCAAAGTATTAACAGCTATTGACTCCTTTACCTGTAATGTGACTTTCCTAAATTATTCCTGTTTTAGAAGTTGTTAGGAAAAATGTGCATCATACTAAAAAGCAGAGAGATTATATATTGGAGCCTAATTGCATAACTTAAACTCAACAATTATCTTGATTTTGTTGTTTTCTTTTCATCTATACTCTTGAACTTTTGTTTTATTTATTTTTTTTCTTTGCTGAATTATTTCACATAAATCTAAGCCATCATTTCATTCCTGTATACTTCAGAAATTCATCTCCAAAAGTGATGACTATTTTCTTGCATATCATAAGTCATTATCACAACTTATGGTATTAGTGGTAATGCTGTGGTATTGTGTACTCCCTGTTCCATAGAGAAATGTCACTATTTTTCTTTAAAAATTTATTTTTCACGTTTGGTCTGTTTTAATTGGGAAAAACGATCCACATATTACATTTGTCTGTTAGGTGTCTTAAGTCTCTTTTCTTCCTATTCAACTCCTTTTTATTTTATCCATTTTATTGACTTCTTAAAGTAACCATATTCTTATAAAATGTTCCATTTCTGGGTTATTCTGTTTGTCTTCTTGTTGTATTTAATTTATTCTTCCATATTTGATAGTTATCATAGTTGAGCACTATCTCTGGAGACTAGCTTTAAGGTTCCTTTTTCCCTAATAGTATTTCACAGGTGACTGTGTACTTCAAACTCTGTCAGGGGGAACATTGTCACATTGTTCCCCTTGTATTGATGTGAAGTTTGATCAGTTCTGACAGCCTGATCCTTGAAAAGATCTCTATTCCCCTCTCCTTCAGTACTTATGTATAATCATTTCAGAAACAATTATTCCACTAGATACTGCAAATTGTGGTTTCATGATATTTTTTCAACATTATTATTAGAATTTTTCAGTGGAGAAGAATGTTCTTTCATTAACTAGGGACACTTGTTTACTTTGAAATATAATAAGTCCTGGAAAGAGTAAATACTTAATTCTCTCTCTCAATATTTTTTTGATGGGCATTTTAATATCTTACCTTCTTTTTTTTTATTGAGGTAATTCTTTTAACCTAAAGGTTTTTTATTCCATTCTTTTATGTCCTGCTTCACTGATTATAATTTCTCATTAACAGCCTCTTTTAAATTGAACAAATAAAAGTTGAACATTAAATATATGTAAGAAACTATATAAAGTTGCAGCCATAAAGATTTACTTTAATATTTAACAATATTTGAACATGGGTCTTAAACTGGTTAATCACTGAGCCTGTCTCATTCACTAGTCGTTCTGGGATTGAACAAGTCCACTCAAGTGCCTTTTTGAGGTAACCTAATGAAAAAGGTTTTGTACAATAAGAAAAACTTGATTTGCTCTCCAGATCTCAACTGAGAACAGTTGACAAGGAGACTGAGCGAGTGACACAGCTGACAGGGAGGACAGTCATTGAAAAGTTACAATTTCAGAGATGGTTATAGCAAATGATCCTAAATTAAAACTAAATTAAAATAAGGTATAAACAGAAGTAGATAAACAGGATTTAAGAAAAAAAAAAGGCATTGCCAGTGAAACAAGAGAAAAAATGGCTGGGAGGAAAACAGAAACGACAGGAGCAGCAGTTACAGTGTTGGTCTTACATGAGGACCCTTTTATGCTCATCCATGAAGGAGGTACTTGTTTGTGGTTCCGTGAGGCACAGACATACTGGTTATTGCTCTCTGCTTGTTAAGCTGAGTTCAGTTTTACTTGGGTTCCAGTGTATTAAAGCAATGCAGTTTAGTCTTATTTCTCCATTACACAAAGTGTGCCTATAAAAATTTCCTTTAAATATGTGTAGTTATGTGCATCATGATCCTTATAACCAACGTAGCATAACTAACCCAGTATAATATTATATGAAATGACAAATGTATTCCACTATAGTTGGAGTCTATGTTGCTGTTGAAGTATAAGGGAATGTTTCAGTTGGAATCCTTAGAATCTAAGCAGTTTATTTCCTGTAAGCAATCAGATCTGCAAAGCTAGGGTTTTATAGTGGGGTGCATGAATAATCACAAAATCCAAAAATCAGAACTGAAACCTGCCTGACTAAAAGTAAACATTTGTATAGATTTTACTCATATAATTACCATTACACTGAATTTCAAAACATCAGTATCTCTGCAAATTCCTCAAAAAATACATTATCTGGAAAGAATAAGAATATTTTTCTAAGAGCATAAGAGTACTGTTACAAGAATGCTTACTAAGAATTGTACTAGTTTAACCACTTCTGAAGTTTTTAATTTTCTATCTCTCAGATTGCCCATCATAATGGAAAGAAAAAGTTCACCTTGAATTTTTCAGGTGATTTAGGCCCAGCTGATACTTATATGTGATAAATACTGTCACCATCTATAAAGAATTAACTGGAGACAGACACTATATGAGGCATTTTAATTCTAATGACAGCAACACTGTTATCATCTGCAAATTGCAGATTATGACACTAAAGCATAGAGGGGTTAAGTAACGTTTCCAAGATCATACATTAAGTCAGCAACAGAAGCAGAATATAAGCAGCCCTTGAACTAATAA